CTAGGCCAAGTTAATTGAAATACATTTTTTGTTTCAGATTCAGTATGGCATTGAATGAAATTATATTCGTTGTTTCATTCTTGTTGGCAACATGTCGTCTAGAAACCACTCCTGCAAGGCCTAATATTGTTTTCATCTTAGCAGATGATCTGGTAAGAGCTTTATTCTCAGTCGTAACTTCCTCTCAGGATTTTAACATAGATTACAAAGTAGCAGCAGCAGCATTACTGGATATTTGTCGGCCGGTCTCGGCTACCAAAATAGCTGAACTGAGTTTACTGTCAATTCATTTATCTTCAAATCTACCACTCAGTTTGTAGACTGCCAATATTTCCCGGACATTTTTTTGGAGGAATTAAGCTCTGGATTTGTTCAGGATTCTAGGAGAGCACAAGCGGAGAAGCTCTCTTATGCTGTCTCTCCCTTGCTTTCCGATGTCCTAAAACATTTAATACTTTTGTTAATAGGTCTGTGAAGATTTCTTCAACTATTTTCAGGGATGGAATGACGTCGGATACCACGGTTCCAATCAAATACCGACCCCAAACATCGACGCACTGGCATATGCTGGCTTGATACTGAACAATTACTATGTATCAGCAATTTGCACTCCTTCTAGAAGTGCTCTCATGACGGGGAAACACCCCATACACACTGGGATGCAGCACACCGTATTGTATGGAGCAGAAGCCAGGGGTCTGCCGCTATCTGAAAAACTGTTACCCCAGTATCTCGAGGAGCTGGGGTATGTGAATCACATCGTCGGTAAATGGCATTTGGGATGTTACACGAAAGATTATACACCTTTGTACAGAGGATTCAAGTCCCATTTAGGTAATTAGTGAAAATATAGTGCAGCTTCTCATCTCATCAAATCATATATGCATTCAACAGCAACAATTTTAAGGTCTCAATCTTCAGCTTATCCAGTTTCTGCAGTGTGGAATAATTTCATTTCAGAAAAATCAAAACTGTGTAAGAGAACGGACGGAAAATGTTCAAGATGTGACTTTAATTTTCATTACACCTAGTATACAGACAGGCCCAAACTAGTATTAGGATCCAAAATAAACAAAAAATGAGGAAGACACTTGCAAATATTCAAGTGATTTTTTGTGTCCAATGGAAAGCCCAACGTGTAATATTTTACTGGCGGAAAATAATATTTCAAGTATGAAAGCATATGAAACATATGCTAATATTTGTTCAAATTGAAAGGGGCATATGTTTAGGAGAGATTGATCTTTGAGTAAGAAAGTTTTGGCTTTCTATATCAAAATGAACTCTACATAAAAATGGTAGTTCATGCAAAGGAGTAACTTTCAGATACAAACTGGAAGAAAAATCCATTTCGAAACAACCACTTTTATTAAATGATATAGATATAGAAATGAATTACTTTGTCTAATTTCCACTCACTTAATGTATTGATATTAATACGACCAAGGTTTCGGTTTTTACACCATTCTCAAGTATTCTAACACTACTGACCTAAGAGATATATCGGAGTATATATATCCGAGAGTAGGTAATGAGATATATACCTAAATTCATTAATACCAACTACATAAACTTCCAACTGTGATTAATTGCGTTGTCATCTTTATAAATTCAAAAGTGGAGACCTACACAAATCTGTTTGTTCGTTAAGGGTTCTNATTTTGAGTTTTCAATTGATTTATTGATTTCCATGGCTTCCAACAAATTCATTTTCCTTCCTTTACTACATTTATGTAAGATTTTGAAATTTTCCTTACTTATTTTGTGGTTTTTTTCTTGTAGATGTTCGTACATAGAAGATTTTTTGTCTAAACCAACGTGTTCTCGCAGTCTTACTTTGAAATTTCTCCCGGTCTGGCCTGTATATACTGCAGAACATTCACTACATTCTATTCTATATATGCACTGCAGTATATACAGGCCAGACCTCCACTTCTGAATTTATAAAGATGACAACGCAATTAATCACAGTTGAAAGTTTATGCAGTTGGTATTAATGTATGTAGGTATATATTTCATTACCTACTCTCGGATATATATACACTTCGATATTTCTCTTAAGTCAGTAGAATACTTGAGAATGGTGTGAAAACCGAAACATTGGTCGTATCAATATCAATACATTTAGTAAGTGGAAAATAGACAAAGTATTTTATTTCTATATCTAAACTTGCAGACCGGTTTCGGACTGTTTAGCCACTCGTCAGTGCAAGGTAGTGTCTATCATCAGCATAGAGATAGATAATTGAAAATCGAATTCCTTTAGAGTATCATTCCTCGAACTAGGCTGAAACGGACAACAAAAAACAGGTTTGTCATCGACCCATCTGCCTGTGAACGAGGTAACCTACCGCATATGAGGAAAGAAAACTTTCCTCATATAGTCAATGGGCATACTTGAAGACTAGCTATAAATCAAAGCATCTAAAGGAACAATTCTTTCAGGCCAGTCCATCAATCTACAGTGTAGGGAGTTGAGATTTTTTTATTTGATTTATAGCCAGTCTTCAAGTATGCCCACTGACTATATGTGAAAAATATCTCGTTTCCTATGGGTTTCATGCTATTTGCGTTCTTTATAAATATTGTAGAGGATTGAATTCCCTACAACTTTTTTAATTTCATTTACATCTTGAACTATTTTCAAAATAGAGGTAGAGCACGCGCGGTGAGTATTAAGAGTATCATTCGAGGTCAATTTGTAGTCCAGATTGAAAACACGCCGTATAAAATTCATAAATTATTAATAAATATGTAATTCTGAATAATTTACATTTTTCATCAACTACTACGTAATAGTTGATAATTTTTTCAATAGTTCAGTATCTAATAATTTAATAACACCTGTTGATGTAATTTTAAAGTCATTAAAGGAAATTATTCAATGATTTATCATTTGTAATTTTATTTTTACTAATTACTTCCTAAGTAAATAAAAAGAAGAGAAATAAATCTTTGATGAATGTATTCATTGAAATATACCATTTCATACATGTATAAACGTTGAAATTCAAAAAATGTAATAAAAAATAAGAACTGCAATTTCTAATTTCAATTTTCTTCTCTTCATCATCGTCTTCCAGTCGCTATAAAATTTAAAATTCGTATGTGTTCTTGTCTTCAACGATATTCGTCTCCAATTCTTCCAGTTCTTCCAGGGTCTTCGGGGTCACAAGTACCTACCGTCTTTATTGATATCACTCTGGGGCGAAGCATTAAGACAAGCTTGCCCATTATACTGGCCTCGAGCTAAAGAGCACTGTAACCCCAATTTTCTGCATCCACATCGCGAACCACAACCATTCTGGCAGTTGCAGAATATTGTGTTAAGCAATTCATCCGGAGCTGATGGATTCATTATCATAACAGGTACCAGGAATTCATCACGCATTATCCAAGCCCAATTATGGGGTTCCAAACCTAACCTAACCTAACCTAAACTAACCTAACCTAACCTAACCTAACCTAGCATAACCTAACCTAACATAACCTAACCTAACATAACATAACCTAACCAGGTCTGAACTTGATAATAAACACGGTTGAAACGTTGGTGAGCTCCTACACTCGCTGGTGGAAGATTTGATGACTGCACAGGTTTATTTTCTTAACTTGATGAATTGTACACAGCAAAGAAGATCGATACACTCGTCAGATCTTGGACCATTATAGATGGTCAACTCGCTCTGCCTTCTATCTCAAAAATGGTTCAAAATATAGAAAAAATGTTCAAACAAAAGTTGTAGAGACTTTAATCCTCTACAATGTTCATAATTCATAAAATAAATTGAGTGATTCATATGTCCAGTGTTCGACAAGTAGAAAGACACGTCTAGTGGTGTAGAATAAAACTGTATTCTTTTAGAAACTTATCCAGATAAATAAAGAAGATCGTACATAGAAAATAGGGCAGTTCTGCTCTCCCCTCTCAATGCCTTGAGCTCAGTTAACTCCAAAGGTACCTGCAAACGACAGCAATCGAAAACATAGAGGGTGGTCAGTTCATCACTCTCAAGTACAGACATTTTTTTCGCAGACGGTATCTCCTCACAACGAGTTTTCCATTGGTTGAAGCAAACAAACGACACAAAGCAACGACTGAGCTTTCGCAGATGATCCTGGGATATACCGGCTATATGGGGATGTAACTAGGTTACTTTAAGTCCATCCATTCAGTATGAGAAAAATAATTCCCACTTGTTTCCCTCACATTATCTGCTAGTTATATTGTGAACTGAAGCAATTTCATACAAAGCGACTTCGTTATCTTAGGTTACTGGACGGGCCACCACGACTACTACGATCACACTGCGGTTGAAAATCCAGGCTGGGGACTTGATATGAGAAGGAACTTGGATGTAGCGTACGATCTTCATGGGCAATACTCCACTGACGTTTTCACGGCAGAATCTGTCAAGTTGATCAACGAGCACAACAAGAGTCAGCCTTTGTTCCTCTATCTCGCTCACGCAGCGGTACACTCTGCAAACCCGTATACTCCTCTACCAGCATCCGATGAGGTGGTCGAGCAATTTTCCTACATCAGTGACTATAAGAGGAGACGTTTTGCAGGTATGTGTCCACATCAAATATTGGGTTGTTGTTACAAAAGTTTCATCCATTTTCATGATTCTACTTTAAAGTAAAATATAATAATAATGAACACCATTTGTTTTATATGGATGATCTCAAACTTCATACCTCTGGATAGAAGGATCTCCATCAGTCCTTGAGGGTGGTGGATGAGTACACGCATGCTTTCGGTATGGAATTCGGGATAGACAAATGTGCAACGGTCCATCTCAAAAGAGGACAATGCGGGGACTACGGAGAGGATGTGCAGCTCGTAGATAGAATCATCCTACACCATCTGGATGCCGGAGAGACGTATACTTACCTCGGAGTGGAACAACGCCACTCACAAGAGGTAACAGCAGTGAAGAACTCTTTCCGCGGCAAGTATCAGCACAAACTTCGACAGATCTGGTCATCGGAACTGTCGGAGAAGAACAAATATGCTTGCCGTTCCAATCTTTCTCTGCTCGTTTGGAGTAGTAAAGTGGACTCGGAAGGAGCTGTATCCACTCGACGTAAAGACCCGAAAAATAGTGCATCTCTATAGGAGTTTGCATCCCAAATTGTCCGTTCCACGGTTGTACTTCCCCCGACAACAAGGAGGGCGTGAACTTTTAAGTTTGGAGTGTCTACATGACAGAATGGTACTGGATATGGCCAGTAAAGTCGTCAGTAGTTCAGATCCTCTTCTCTGCATGGTCCTTGACCATGAGAGAATAGGAATTGGAGCATTTGCTGCCCTAAATTAGCCAAAAATCGCTCAACAACCTCATATATTTATTGAAATATAGAGCTACAAAATCACATTACTTTAAGACAGAAAAAGCGTTTGAAAAGCACCAACAAAATGACATGGCTACTGTTCCAAACAGTCTAACTTTTAATTGGAGAATTTGGTTTACTTATGAAACTTACTAAAAAGTAACCTCATGTTACGTCAGCACGTTATTGATTATTCTGTTAATACATTATATATCATATTCCATTCGCCAACTCCGATATTTGGTTACGATATAAACTTCACTTCCCATGAAATGTGAAATGCCCGCAGTCTAGTAGTTGTCAAAACAACTATTTGTGTAATATGAAAGAATTGAAACTGCAGGAACTTTTCAAATGACAAAGTTAAACTGATCAAACGATACTGATACATCTTCAATTGGTCTCAATTCTAAGAAATTGCCGCCGACTCGCATTTGTATACCCATCTTTTACTGATTGAACTTAAATATTCCATCGTGTATTATATTGATGAAGCTTGCTGTACAAAGTGTATGTATTTTTTTATTGCTCCGGGAGATGACGTCATCGAACGTTTGCTTTAATGGAATGTACAATATTTTATTAATTATTTGGAATGAGCTTTTACTGCGCTTTTTTGCAAACCATAAATGTAATACATTAACCAGACATTAATTTTTCATGTTCCATGAAATTGTGCACAAATCCTGTTGGGCAGGATTTTATTGAAAGTTTTTAGAGAACATCAATTTTTAGGCATCCTCACACAAAATGATATGTTACCACTAGGATTGCCACTGTAGTATGATAGTCAATGTATACTCCTCAAAACATTAAAGGATCACCACTTTGTAATGATCGTGTACAAAAATAAGTTTTATGATAAATATAATAATGTTACCTTTGAGAGTGGAAAACATTGATGAGAAACAACAGAGGTTGTATGTACGTATGTATATAGTAGGGGGTGATTGGGTGTATACAGCACTTAAGCCACATGTGACCCATCGTACATCCTCCCTAGGAGTTGTCCTCCTAAGTCACTACGAAACATCTCCTTTATATTGGCAGGTGTAGTCCAAGACTCGCCTAACACACACTCTCTTTGCCAACCTTGAGGTATCTCATGGCGGCCTCCGCGAACGTTTTGAAAGATGCAGCGACATAACTGTCGTTGCGCGGCTGCTTCAACCTTCCTGGGGTAACCCTTAAGGAGGTGTTCAAGTGAGGGCGCTTTCCTGTAAGGGTAGCCGGTTCCTTGCCTTTATTCAAGGCGGAAATCTTGGCGCCCGCCGCAGGAAGTGCCCTTGCTGTTGGAGGTAGAGTGGGGGAGGAGGAGGGTGCGCTTATAGTTGCTGCCACTCCTACTTCTTTCGCTCTCTTTCTCCTTTTGGCATCGGCGCCGCAAATGCGCCGCCTTTGTATCACATTGCGAAGTGATCTGCTATGTCCAGCCTCATTCCGAGCAGTAGATTGGGGTGGACATTTCTGTTCATCCCCAGCCACCGCCAAAGATTGAGGTGAGCACTTCTGTCCAGCCTTGGGATTGGTTTTTGTTGTGTCTGCTTGTTTGTTTCATATATATGTGTTCCTACGAGTAGCAAGGGAAGAGTTGGTCACCTCTGGCAGAGCTCCGCTTCACCAGAGGAAGGCTGATCACAATGAGGTTTCGCCCGGATCCCCAAGGGGGTGGTTCGTAACCGCATATCACCCTGCGGCCATTCAGCTGTCGGCACGATTCCCTACACCTTAGCTTGGATAGGCTGGTCCACGGTGGCATGTTTCGCAAAGGCTTTTGGGGAGTTTCAGTTCCCCTCGCCCTACTTATTTCTGGCTTCCCGGACAGGGCCCCCAGTCCCCTAGCCATTCCCCTATCCGCCACCTGGGGACGCGCCCGATAGATAGCCCAACCCACGGGAACAACAGAGGTTGTTTTCGTCCCTTGGCTCTGGATTAGTATAGATAATTTTTATCTTTCGAAAGAGAAATGGAAAAGAGCATGATTCCAAGTACTAACCATCGAACTTACAAGGTGCAGTTTACTCATTTTCTATTCGTTACCTCCTGTTTACGTACCATGGCAGGTGTTAGAAAGTTTCTTTCTAACAATGATGTCACTAGGGCTGTCTCATGGATTGAAAGTGGTGTTTCTCAACGTCAGGTGGATAGAAGATTAGGTAAGATTAGGTGTAAGATAATCAGTGGTTTCAAGAGTTTAGAACCGCTACCAACAACTAGATACTGTTCACAAAAGGCCAGGTCAAGGCCGGCGGAGGTCCACTTCAGCTCAAGAGGACAGGTATTTATATCCAAGTGCCCTCAGACGCAGATTTTCAACAGCCAGGGAGCTACAAAATGAGCTGAGTCGAGCAACGGGGACCCAAATCGACTTCTGGAAGGTGGATTGAGATCTAGACTACTCCAGATACCTCTGTTTACAGCACGTCACAAAAGAGAATGTTGTTCGCTTGGACGCACGTCTAAATTTACTCTTAGGTAATTACCAGGCCAGGGTATACAGAATAAGAAATGAACGTTTCATTTCCTGCTGCTCATCTTCAAGAGTCCCATTTGGAGTTGCATCAATAATAGTGTGAGGTGAATCAACACTCACTGATAGTACATACTTTGTAGTCATCCGCAACGGATTCCAGACCGCCCTAAGGTACGTTGATGAAGTGTTGTATGTCCAGATATGTCACAGAGCAGAAGCAGAAGAACACAATTTAATTTTCATGAATGATGGGGTCCGTCCCTACTCTACAAGAATCGTGCATTAGTACCTACAAGCCCTCCACTTTATTGTAGCCCGCTTGTAGTCTGGACCTTAATCCCATCGAACATGTCTGGGATCAACTGAGAAGAATCATCCGAAGCCGTCAAAATCAACCCACCACTTTGGATGAGCTGGAAATCGCTCTTCGAGAAGAGTAGAAGCTTTTGCCTAAAGAAAACCTCAGGAGGCTCATAAGAACCATGCACCGGCGAATCCGTGCTGTGATTTCTGTCCGAGGAGGAAACACAAAATACTGAGCCATTGATTTCAACACAAAAACAACTTTTTGTTCGTTTCTAAGTTCAATAATCGAAGGGTTTTCATTTTGATTATGGCAGTTCTTTAATTTTCTCGCGTATATCGAATACCCAAAAAAAAATTATTCAATAATACAGCATGGATTTGGAAGAGACCTGCATAACCTTCTATTGTAATATTACATATATTTATCATAAAACTTATTCTTGTACACGATCATTACCAAGTAGTGATCCTTTGATTGTTTTGAGGAGTGTATGATTCTCTCTCTGCTTCAAAATGTTTCTGATTTCAAATTATATAAGTCCAAATTTTGATTATTCAATCGAGAAAATGTATTAACAAATTTCAAAACCGCACTTCATCCTATATACACTCTTTGATATTTCCTCTCATCTTTGGAGAAGAGTCCAATGTATACGAGAAACATTTTATTGTGGGATTTTCACTAAACAGTTTCACAAAAAACGCAACAAAATGCACTTGAAACAGATATCATTCATACAAACGCTACTCAACGTAATGAATGAAAGAACATTAATATAAAATATCACACAGATGGAACACTGTTCATTACAGAACAATCATCATCAATGGTGTACTTCGAAGTTTCGGGACAAGACATTTGTGTTATCTCCGTTTTACAAAACGAGGCACCGATTTCTTTCACAGCATTTAAACTTTGTCGGAAGAGCCAACTCTGCTTTTGTCACGATGGCAGTTCGTTCAAACATTCATTCGATAAGTTAATTTCAGCCCAGCCATAGGAATTTCATTCAAATTGAAAAAGGAATTGAAATAAGTGTAAGACTGTATTGAGGAGAGATGCATACGTATAAGGTTGAGGCCTGCCGAAAAACAACCAACTTCTTCGGCTCGTATCACGATGGACATTGAATTATATCCGACAGAAAGATTAGTCTCGCAAATGTCTGCGAGATAAAGATTGTTGTGGCTTATTTGCATACACATGCGACTTAAGAAAACCCCACAAAAAAAAGTCAAACAGGGTCAAATCGCCCGATCTCGGAGGCCAGTTCATATCACCTCCACATGAGATGACCAT